CTATCTATCTATCTATCTATCTATCTATCTATCTATCTATCTATCTATCTAATTTCATAAGAATAATCTAAACATGCATCAAAAGCACCTTTGATAAAAAGAATTACAAAGAACAGGATTTTCTTTTTTTCACTTAATAGTACTTTTTTTTCAATTACATGCAAAGATAGTTTTTTTGGTAAGATTTGGAGCTCCAAATTTTTCTCCCTTCCTTCCTTCCCTCCCCCCTCTCCAAGACAACAAGCAATCTGATATAGACTATATATTTACAATCATGTTAAACGTATTTTCACATTAGTCATGTTGTGAAAGACGAATCAGAACAACAGGGAAAAACATGAGAATGAAAAAACAAAAAAAAAAAGTGAAAATGTGTGTTTCAATCTGTATTCAGACCCCATAGTTCTTTCTCTGGATGTGGATAGCATTTTTCTTCATGAATCTTTTGGATTCATGTCTTGAATCATCATATTGCTGAGAAGACCTAAGTCTATCATAGTTGATCATCACAAAATGTTGTTTTTTTAATTTTTTGTTTGTTTGTTTTTTGCTGGGCAATGGGGTTAAGTGACTTGCCCAGGGTCACACACCTAGTGTCAAGTGTCTGAGGCCAGATTTGAACTGATCCTCCTGACTCCAGGGTCAGTGCTCTATCATTGCACCACCTAGCTACCCCATCACACAATGTTGTTAATATGTACAATGTTCTCCTGGTTCTGCTCACTTCATTCAGCATCAGTTCATGTATGTCTTTCTAGGTTTTTCTGAAATCCATCTGCCATTATTTCTTATAGAACAATAGTATTCATTGTATTCATATGCCATTACTTATTCAGCCATTCCCCAAATGAGAGATATCCCTTCAATTTCCAATTCTTTGCCACCACAAAAAGAGCTACTATAAGTATTTTTGTACATGTAGGTTCTTTTCCCTTTTCTATGATCTCAAAGAACAGTTTTTACAAAATATGATAGTTTATAACCCACTATATTTTTAACCATTATATAATTAACTGAAAGATGTGGAGAATGCAAGTACACTGAGTCTACTGTTTATTGACTGCAAAAAAGCATTTGAGTCAACACAGAAGAATGCCCCTTGAAAGCTTTGCCCCAACAATCTGTCTGTCATGCATATGCCAAGACTTTATAAGATTCCCTGACAGATATAAAAGATATGAAAATAAAGATAATATAATTTGATGACCCTCTGATAAAGTAAAGGTCATAAAACAGGGAGGCCTATCCTCACCAAAGACATTTTCCATTGTCAAAGAGAAGATCCAGCAAAGAGTTTTAATTGAAGAGGGGTACCTAGTACTTCCTAGATAGTGAGGTCCTAAAAGTGCTCCTATTCTTGATGATGTTGAGCCTATGGAATCAAATTTTGGAACACTACATATCCTCTTAAATTATATTCACATTTGTCCAAGTTTAGCACATATGTAAACATATATATATGTACATATATATATATATATGTGAACAAACATTTAAATTGTCAATAGTTGGCCCTTGAATTACACAGGAGGCATAAAGTTAGCTGTATTTTGAGAAATTCCAAAATTCTTTTAATGACCTCAAACTTTTCTTTAGAACAGTGATCTATCTTTTTGATATCAATATTTTCCCAATGATGGTATCTGGTTTTAAGTTACGGAATGCTATGCTTTCTGAAGAATTAAAGTTGGCAAGGTCTTATAGTGGCTATGAATAGGATGTAACACATTAAGAGCAAGGAATTATAATCAAATCTAATCTAATCAAAGAAATGGATAATTGAAAAATAGGTAATTCAAAAATATGAGCCAAATGATGAGGACAAGGGCTAACTGATAAACAGTCACATAGATGTTCCCTTGGTGCTATTACATGTCAAGTGATAGAGAGGAAGTTGTGTTCCATATCTTTGTAGGAGGAAGCCATATTGATGAGATCACAAATCCATTGTAGACAGCGTGCAAGCTAAGAGTTCATCTGCACTCTTGGTCTTCGTGATGTACTGTGATGCAAATGAATAAAGACAGTAAAAAAGGATTGATTTGAATGTACCGACTTTTGGAAGTGGTTTTGCCTAATTGGGCATGAAGACTTTGATCTTTTCTAAAAGTGTAAAGCTAAAAAAAAAATGAAGGATTGTTGTGTTAAGTCCTCTATACGTCTATTTTTTTTTAGGCAGTTGGGGTTAAGTGACTTGCCCAGGGTAACACAGCTAGTAAGTGTCAAGTGTTTGGTCTGAGGCCGGATTTGAACTCAGGTCCTCCTGACTTCAGGGCCGGTGCTCTATCCACTGTACAACCTAGCTGCTCCTTATACATCTTTAAGTTCATTGGAATTTCCATTTGTACGTATGTGTAACTTTATTTAGTACAGACTTTATTGATTTGATACATTTTCTAGTTATTAAAATAATTTGCATTTTATACATATTTGTCAGATTCTTAGTTTATAACCCACTATATTTTTAACCATTATATAATTAGCTGAAAGATGTGGAGAATGCAAGTACACTGAGTCTACTGTTTATTGATTGCAAAAAAGCATTTGAGTCAACACAGAAGAATGCCCCTTGAATTTTTTTCAACTTTTAAGGTGTGAAGTGGGAACTGACAATTGGATTCAGTGCAATGATTCACCAGTGAAAATCTGCAAATATCCTGTAACTGGACTTTTTGAGGGCAGATCCTACATGTTTCGTGTAAGGGCAGTAAACAATGCTGGAATCAGTCGACCTTCTCGAGTCTCTGAGGCAGTTGCAGCCCTTGATCCTGTTGATCTCAAGAGATTACAAGGTAGGTGACCAACTAGTGAGGGTCCATCCATAACTGGAAACTGTGTGTGTGTGTGTGTGTGTGTGTGTGTGTGTATACATACATATATATATATATATGTGTGTGTGTATGTGTACTCTCATGGATGTGCATACACATATACTACACAGGTATATGGGTATAGGCCTTCAATCTTGGTTTTATCCATATCTTGTCCTGTTTTTCTTATTCTATTCTACTATCGACAAGTTATGAGAACTTCAAAAGCTGAGCCTAACAGCAGCATTCATTTTGTTAATCTCTTGTATTCCTATCAATGCCACTTAGTAAATGGATAAAGCTAGGTTAACATTTACACTGCTAAAACCAAAGCATTTAACCTTCTTAATAATATTTGTGGGAAAAATCCAATTAAGTCACAGTCTCACTTGGTTTAGAATTAGACTCTTAATAAATGCTTAACCATTGCTGGTGTAATTTCAGATCACAGAAACTAGGACAAAACCAATGTAACCAAGTGACATTTCTGAAATGTAATTTCATCTGACATTGGCTCCTCAAAAATTCACTGGACTCTTACTCATTTATTCTAAGTGGATAGCTATATTTTCTGGTGTGTTATACCAGTATACTTATTGAATAATTTGACTGATGGTAGGAAAGTAGGTTATAATTTATGAGGACAAGTTCCAAGGGTGCCAAACCCTATTGCAATGGAATGGGTAATTCTAATAACAGAATGGAAAGGTGATTCAGTTCTGGCAAAGAAGTATTTCAAGGGACTTGATCTTTCTTTATGAAATCTTTTGGTTTTAAGAATTTATCAGCTCTTCCCTCCTGTCCACAGCAATTCATTTGGAGGGCGATAGAGAAATTGTAATCTACCAGGATGAACTTGAAGGTATGTAGCTCTTCATGATTTAATTTCAGCTGCTTATATCTAAGGAATTTAAGATTATAATTAGAGCCATGAGAGCTGGAGGAAAAAAATCCCCTTCATGAGCAAATTCTTTATATAAATAAAGGGGAAAAAGCAGTCACTGAAGCTTGCAAACCTCATGTCAATAGAGAGGGGGAAAAACACCCAAGGCTGTAATAGGGGTAAAAATAGGAATCTAACTGTTGGCGGGATTGCTTTCATTCTGGGCTCACAAAGGTGCTTTGTGACTTTTGATGACTTGATGCAAAAAGGGAGCCATATAGTCTCCAATGTGACTGCCTAAAGGCAGCTTTGAGTCAGCCTTCCATACTCACTCCACTGGGGGTCCAACATGACTTTGAGGGCAAAATGTGAATCTCTAGTCCTTTGCTGACTACAGTTTTTAACTGACATGCATTTAATCTAAGCATTTAATCTTCATATGAAGTATGCTTCTTAATTAGACTACTCACATCTTTTTTTCCAATGTGAATATGGCTTTTAGTGACATTTCTCTTGCTTGCTATGCCTTCCAGATATACCTGGAGAGAGAAAAACATGAAGAATGAGCACTGGGGCCTCTTGATCAGTAGTGCTAAAGATTTTAGTTGAATTTGTAATTAGTCTTTTTAAAAGTTCAGTACCTAAAAACTTAAAAAGGATTGGATTTAACATGTAACCTAAGCTGAAGCAAAAATTATGAGTACTTACTGAACACAATGGAGTCTCTAGGCTTGCTGTCCCAAAGCATGCCACTGATCATCACTTCCAAAAGGGGCTCATTAATGCTGTTTCACATTCCTTAGGGGTCTTCCCATTGTATCCCTAAGTGGTAGCTTCTGTTCTCCTGATTGTATTTATAGTATTACCTAGAGATAGTTCAGACAGTAATGAAGATGCCAATATGTCCCCACAAGAGTATTATATTGAGAATTCCAAGATTCTCTCAGAAGAGAATTGTATTTCTCCTCCCACTCCCCACCCTACCACTCAAAAAAAATTCTAGAGTTCTAATTGAGAAATCATTGTGGTTTAGTGAAAGGAATGCTGAAGCTAGGGTCAGGAGACCAGGGTTGGCATCATAGTCTGATGCTCTCACTTTGTGACTATGGCAACACATCTCTCTTAAACTCAGCTTTCCTCCTCTATAAAATGGGAATAATGATCCATGTATTGGACTATTATGGGAAACATGATTTGTAAATCATAAGGGGCTACATGAATGTGAATTATCAGTATTTATCTCAATGGCTTTTAAAAGGTAAGAAGCAAAGAAATAAATCTGAAATATCTAGTGGCAGAAGAATATGGAAACAGGAAAATTACTGGATCTAATGAAGACTGAGATTCAGGGCAGCTGACCGGTCAGAAACCTGTCAATAAGTGTATGTAATCCAGAAGCAATCGGTAATCTCCTGAACATATTATAATGGGCATCTTTATAATAGATTAACCTATGTAACGTGAGATCCTTAGGCATGATCAATGAAAGGAAGTTCTCTTTTAGTAATATTAACAGTTGACATTTATATAGTTTTAAGGTTTGCAAAGTAATTTACATCTGTTATCTCATTTAATCCTCATGACCCTATGAGGTAGGTGCTATTTTTGTCCCCATTTTGCAGATGAGGAAACTGAAGCTGAGAGACATTTAATCACTTGCCCAGAGTCACACAGTAGTTAAGTATTTAAGAAAGGATTCAAACTTAGGTCTTCCTGACTACAAGTTCAACACTATCCACACAGCCACCTAACTGCCTCAGAATTTTGTAATGTGTAAATTGGATCAGTGAGGAGGGGAAGCAGAAGTATGGTATGTTATCTTGAATAAGCTGGTAGGAATCTAATCCAACAAGAATTTATTAAGCTCTTATTCCTACAAGAAACTGTGCTAGGTGCTAAGGATTCAAAAACAAAATAATGAGTGTTCCCTAAGGCTCTGTTCTGGGTCCTATTCTCTCTCTGACCTTAGCATCTCTCATGGGTTTTATTATCATCTCTATTCAGATGTCTCACAGATCTATATTATATATCCAGCCTTAATTTCTCCCCTGACCTCCAGTTCCACATCACCAATAGTTCATTATGTATGTCCTAAATAAATGTTACACTCAACATGTCAAAAACTGAACTAATTTTCTTTTAAACTCACCTCCTTTCCAAACTTCCCTCATTCTGTTAAAGATATTATCATTCCACCAATCTCCTAGGTCTGTAATCTCTGCATTATCCCTGATTTCTCTTTCTTCCTTACCCCACATATCCAATCAGTTGCCAAATCTTTCCATTCATACCTTTACAACATCTTTCACAGTTAACTCCTTTCTCCTTATAGAACCACCACTTGATAAGGTTCAGTCCCTCGATACTTCTAGCCTAAATTATTCCAACAGCCTCCTAGTTCATCTCCCTAACTCAAGTCTCTCCTCCCTCCACTTTATACTATACACTACTGCCAAAGTTATTTAGTTATTAGTGCAGTTCTAACCATGTCACTCCCTTCTTCAACTTTGGTGTCTCCCTATTGTCTCTAGACATGAGTTTTAAACCTGGGATCCATGAACTTGTGTTTGTTGTTAACATTTTGATGGCTATTGATAATTAGTCTTCTTTGGAATCATCTATTTTTTATTTAAAGCATTTAAAATTATTCTCAAAAGGGGTGCATAAGCCTTATTAGACTACCAAGAGTGTCCATGACACAAAAGTAGTTAAGAACCCTCTGCTCTAGGATAAAATATAAACTCCTCTCTTTAGTTTTTAAAGTCTTTTACAACCTACAACCAGGCCCACTGTATTTTTCCAACCTCTATGTATTTTAGTACACCCTTTCTTCAACCCCACCTCCATCTAGCCAAATTGACCTTCTCTCCTGCCCTCATGGATAACATTCCTGCTCTTGTTTCTGTGCCTTTGCACTGGCTATCTTCCATGCCTGACATGGATTCCCTACTCACAGAATCTTTATCTTTCTTCAAGATGTTGCTCAAGTACCACTTTGTGCATGAAGCCCTTCCTGATTCCTCCAACTTCTAGTGTCCTCTCTTCTAAACTACCTTGTAATTTAACTACTTTATATTTATTTATCATTGTTATCAATGTATTTATCCTTGTATTTATTGTTATTTAATAACATGTTAATAATGTTAATAACAATAATACTAATTATTATTATTGTTAACAACGTATAATTATTCTGTATATACTATTTAAGTAGAGACTTATCTCTCCTGAAAGAATGTAAGTTCCTTAAGAGCAGGGATTGTTTAATATTATATATACACATATAAATCGTATTTGTATCCTCAGTGCTTTGTCCAGTGCCTTAACATAATAAATTCATTAATTCCTGCCCTTGAGGAACTTACATTTCAACTAGCAAGATGTATCATATAAAAAGGGGAGAAATGAAGCAGGATGACCAATGAAGAGGCCAAGACTATAGTTCAGAAATGCAGTTTGGGTTAAGCCATTGACACTGTTGGGAATTAGCCTAGTGGTTTGACCATTTGGCCCAAAGTTCCAAAGTAAGGAATTAGCCACATGCTTCCAGGCCAAAAGAATGAATGAACTGATAGAAAAGCATTTATTAAATGCCTACTATATTCCCAGCACTGCTAGGTGTTGAGGATTCCAGGGTGGAGAGATACTAACTACTATGTGGAAGGGAAAAGATTGAGAGGCTTCCTGTAGAAATTGGAACCTGAACTGAGTCTTAGAGGAAGCTAGGGATTCCCTAAGGCAGAGGTGAGAAAGAAGTGTGGTGTGTGTATGTGTGTGTGTATGAGTGTGTGTGTGTGTGTGTGTGTGTGTGTTTTGTCCTTCATTTTCAAAGATGACCATGACATCAGGAAGATGATGACATGACTTGCAAATGAATTGGATTTGAGTGAGGGAGGGCTGTGCAAAGTCACCAGTCTCACTTTCTCTTCCAGAGCCTTCTGGGTCCAGTGGCCAGATATAGATCAGGATGCCTGGAAATGGCCCAGGATGCAGTGGGAGACCTTGGCCTTTTTAAACTAAGGTCTTCCTGAGGTCTCACTTTGAGTGAGGCAATACCCATTTAGCGAATAGGCCTGTTTAAAGAGTGAGCCAAGGGATGGCCCCTTCAATCAAAAAAAAAAATGAAACTGGGAGAAGACCCTCAGGGTTGCTGGCCAAAAGAGAAACAATTACTATTTACATTCACTCTGAGTCAGGAGGTCCCAAAAAGTAACCATTAAGTGGTGCTTGGGCAGGGTCCTAGTAATTTAGTGTTTGCTAAACCCGAATATCCAAGCTTTTAGGACAAAAACTCATTATTTGACAAAAACTTCTGAGAAAACTGGAAAACAGTATAGTGGAAACTAGGTATAGACCAATGTCTCACACACTACATATATATGTGCACACACACACACACATACACACACACATATTTATATATAGTTGGTTGGTTGTTATCCTGCTTTCTCAAAGAAGAGTGTGTGCTAGGCATTGGCGGAGGTGTGTGAAAAAACACAGATATGAGAGATAAAGGTGATTGACTTGGTTATGTGAGTGGAGAGAAATGAATCTGTGTAGGGGAGGTAGACTCCTACTTAATGTGATCTAATGTATAGGATACTAGCCTTGAAACAAAAAATAAACTTTCTTTTCTATTTTTCCTCTGAATAAAACTATAAGATGATAAATTCTTAGATCTGGGTCCTTGAAAATTAACTAGCAGCCATAGTAATGCAGGAAAGGCTCCATCATAGTTACATTAGCATCTACTTCGATTAATGTGTACTTCACTGTGGTAGGCACAAGAAGTAAAATACTGTTTTTATCCTTGAAGGATTTAACAGATTTTAAATAAGATTATTGGGAGAAAGTATATTTAATTCAATATGACAAGTAAGAACTTGCAATCAAATGAAAGAAATTAAAACCAAAAACAAAACCAAAAACAAACCCTTAATATATAAGAGAAAGTGAGATAAATACAAAGAGGAGACTCA